AGTTTTTGACATCATGACCAAGTTTGCCTTTCATGCTGTCTGCTTTCACATTGATAACTACTGGCCTGTCCCAAACATAGTCAACTTTGATACAGGTCTTTGAGGGCTGTAGGATGATGGGCTGATTCATCCTTTGAGGTGTCTTGAACACAGGTCATGTTGTAAGTTGACCATGTATTGAGTAGATATCAACATGAATAGCCTTCTCTAGCTTGAAATAGTAGGTATCAATATGAAAGACATAGAATGGCCTTTCCTAATGTGAAAGACAACTTGTGCATGATGTCAAATACTAATGCTGCAGCACTGGCAATATGATGGCAATCCTTCAACCTCATCCCCATAACATAGATAGGGCCAAGGACACCATAAACTACATGTCAACTACAAACTTTTTTAAATGAAAAAGCAGACACTACAAACTTTTGTAGTCTCAAAAAGCGGACACTACAAACTTTTTTAATGAAAAAGCGCAACACTACAAACTTTTGTAGTCTCAAAAGACGGACACTACAAACTTTTTTAATGAAAAAGCGCAACACTACAACTTTTGTAGTCTCAAAAAGCGGACACTACAAACTTTTTTAATGAAAAAGCGCAACACTACAACTTTTGTAGTCTCAAAAAGCGGACACTACAAACTTTTTTAATGAAAAAGCGCACACTACAAACTTTGTAGTCAAGATAACCTTTTGACTCTAACCCTAACTATGTAGTCTAAGTCCATGCTTTTGTAGTCTAAGTTCGACTTTTGTAGTCTTTTGTAGTGTATTAGTAAACTTTGTAGTCTAATTTCGACTTTCGTAGTCTTTTATAGTGTATCAGTAAACTGTGTAGTCTAAGTCCGACTTTTTTGTAGTCTATCAGTAAACTTGGTAGTCTATATCTGATTCTTATAGTACAGGATGCACCTTCCTTTTTTGGTCATTTTTCCCACGATACAATAATTGTAGCCCTTTCTTTTAGCTTTCTGAATATACTGAAATCATGTTATTTGGTTTTGTTTTTATAGAGAAAAACACAAAAAAAAAAAAAAACACGATGCTTTTGAAATTCCTTTACCTAATATCTCCACAACGGGAGCACTTCAGAACATAATTCAAACAGATTCGGGAAGCTACAGTGCAGGGCTACAACTTTCGTTTTTGACCATTTTTCGTAATTGGTCATGTGACCACCCTCCAGGGAAGCCCATTGCATGGACCCTGACATGTGGGATACATTTGAAAAATTGCAATGAAATATCCAGGGATACATTTGAAAATTCACAATGAAATACCAAGGGTATCTATTGAAAAATCACAATGAAATACCCAGGAATACATTTGAAAAATCACAATGAAATGCCCAGGGCTACATTTGAGATTTTGCAATGAAATACCCAGGGTATCTATTGAAAAATCACAATGAAATACCCAGGAATACATTTGAAAAATTGCAATGAAATACCAAGGGATACATTTGAAAAATCACAATGAAATACCCAGGAATACATTTGAAAATCGCAATGAAATACCCAGGGTATCTATTGAAAAATCACAATGAAATGTGCCAGGTATCCATTGAAATTTTGCAATGAAATATCCAGGGATACATTTGA